TTTATTTATTTATTTATTTATTTATTTATTTATTTATTTATTTATTTATTTATTTTTATTTATTTATTTTTTTAAATCGGGAATAGATGTGATTTTGAACATTTTTTTTGTTCAAGAACAACCACATAAAGACTAAATCTTACTGAAATATTGTTTTATAAACAATTTTAGACACAGGGATAAGAACAAATGTTATGTGATGTGAAAACAAAAGATTGAGTAGTCGCTATTTTGCTGAAACCGACCACGTGAGAGAACCGTAGAAAATTATGACACACGACGCACGCTGTCATTGGAAAATGCACATGAAATCGTTACGGTAAGAGAGAGGCCGTCAGAGAAACGTTTAGCCACTAAACATGGCAAATCCGTTGCATATGTTTGCCATTCGTTTATTCTATTGTACAATACGTTAACTAACCTTGAGATTGGGGCAAAGTGTCGAATTCCAAATGCTGAAAACAATGCACAGGTTTTCAAAAGCACTAATATTTTGTTGTTTTATTTAGTTATTACAACAAACATTTACACTTTTTAAAATTGACGCCCCCTGAGGTGCATTTGGTAGCTATTCGTTTATTTCATTTTTCATCACAACAATAACACTGAAAATAATTATGTTATATTGAACGCAACCTGAAAATAATATTTGGAAATTTGCTTCCAATTTTTCAATTATCAATTTCGCAGCAGGTCTGTTATGAACAGTTCGCCCAGACCACAAAGACACCGATAGATAAAATGTAAGCGTGGGAATAATAATATCATTCAGTTTATACTTTAATTACGAAATTATCTATTTGTTATTGGTTAAAAGTTGGAATTTGGCATTGAAACCACGCCCATCCATATCCCTGGTCGAAGAGGCGCCACAATTTCACACACCCTGGTACATTTCATTATTATCAATTCAGGGACACACTATATAATTTGGGCTAGTTGTTCAGACTGTCTTAAATAGTATAACAAGATTACCCCTACAACATATATAAATTTTATTGTTCAGGATTGTTCCATACTTGAGTTTAGGTGTTTTCACTAGTGTTGCATAAGCGTTCTATAATTGGCGTTCCATAATCCGCTCGCAAGGACCTATGAGAATTACGTCTTAGTAACGTATTTGGTTCTGTGACGAAACTCCGCCCCATGAATAAATAATTTTGTAATTAAAGTATGAATCAATGATATTATGATCTACACTTCTGACTAATTAGCATAAAACGCGCCGTTTACTTTTCGCACGCTTACATTTTATCATCGGCGTCTTTGTGGTCTGAACGAACTTTCTATAACACACCTGCTGCGAAATTGATAATTGGGAAATTGGAGGCCAATTTCATTTTCGGTTTGAACAATTGGTGTTTAATATATCATAATTCACCGTCATTAGATTCGTATTCTCAGTCACTTCTTATAAATATTTTCAGTCACTTCGCTATTGTTGTGTTGGAAATTAAATACACGAATGGCCACCAAATGCACCTCAGGGGCAATAATTTCTAAAATGTAAACATTTATTTCGTTGTATTGGATTTCAAAAGATGGTGCCTCCTGGAGACCTAGACGCAACCCGATGCCATCTACTCCCCATTTAACTATAAAAAAATCTGTGTGACGAGGTAAGGCACATTATACAATTGACTAAGTAGTCATGAAGCCTCATATATGTTTTTCCTCAGGTCTCTGGTTTTACGTACCTTTAACTACATTCCTAATACGATTTTCCTGCATGTAATTGAAATTCACGGACTGAGCATGCGTGAAATACAGATATTTATAAGCTGAAATGTAATCAGTGATCTATCATGCGATTTAGCAATATAATTATGGTGTAAATACATGCTCATAATTATGTAGTAAAAGAAGTTTGTAATCGAAAATAGTAAAAACTATTCTTGCAGGTGAGTCGCAAGGGTAGAATCTAATTCTCTTCATATCTTATAAATGATCAGTTATAGAAATCCAAAGTAAATACACGGCACGAAGGAGAAAAATATATTTTAATGTGAATGTGAACTGAATTAAAGGATATTATCTTCGTCCAGCTTAACTAACACAACGTGTTTTGAGAAAGCATGATCTGTTTCAGCGTGTTCTAGTAAGTATATGTTTCTAAATACGTCGTGACTCGAATCAACATTTCTAGTATAATGTTATCTTTGTTTCTAACTAACGTATGTAGAACGCAGTATCGCATATTTGAAAAAAATTGAATATAACTTAATAATACAAATAATTAAACACCTTATGTTCTCAAACCATAATTACAAACATAAATCAAAACTATTATTTGTTGACACTACGTTATGTCTAGTTCTCTCTAGAATTGTTTTCTAAATGCGTCATTTGATTCATACTCCTAATTCGGAGCAGTTTCGATATTTTGAGCATTTGAAATATCTAGTAATAAATGTATGTTGTTCTGTGTGGTTTTGTTATAGAGCTTTATCACAAGCACTGTAGACCAATCGTCTCGTCATGGGTAATTCAGCGCATTACAGTCAGGATCAAGGCGATTGGAAGACTCACGTGCTTCATATACATTATGCAGTGTGACGAGTGATGCATGCGCCGAAACATACAGTCTTTGTTTTTTTTCAGCGGTGCTGTATGTTCAGAACCTACGATGGAGACGACTGAAGAACCAGTCTTCGCTCTGCCGAGTGAAATAAACGACATGGATTATGAAGAACTGATTCAATGGTTCAAACAGTTTCTCAATATCTCTAACTACGAATTCTACACTGCAGAAGACCTGGCTGTACATCGAATAGAGCAAATACTCATGACGATCGGTTTTATCGTCATCCATCACCCTAATTATCGTCGGCAATCTAATTGTCATATGTGTTTTAACGTTTGGTACACGGACATGGACAGACTTGAATATTTTCCTGATTAATTTGTCTCTGGCTGATCTGACGATGGGTATATTTTGTATGCCGTTTACATTCCCTACAATTATGAAAGGACATTGGATATTCGGCAAAGCCATGTGTCCCATAGTTATATCACTGCAACAGGTAGGTCATATACAATATCCTTTCGTTCCTGAACACAAATGAGGGTGAATTTCCTAGACAGATTGTAACACGTATTATAGACACTTGTAGCTGAAGTCCATCTTTATTTACAATATAGCTTGACATATTTGAGTGGGATAGCTATAGACTAAAGATTGGATTATTCACTGTGCGAATACTCAACGCTTGATATTTGACTTAGCGTGTCCGCCCAGCACCGGGAAGTTTGTGGATTCTACTCTCGTTGTATTCGCAACACACTAACAAACGTCATGAAACTAACATATGCGTATGATGTAAGGGATTACATTTAATGACAACATATCCTGATACCATTAATGGCGTTATATCATGTCCTAATGGATCGTAATAATCCGTTTCCCATATTTCATTTCGGTGATCTGTTGCTGAAATATTCAACAAAGACAATTATGCAAATAACTCATTTATTAAATTTATTGCCTAGGCATGTGTGTTCAACACTTTAGCAACAAGCTGAAGATAATGCGGTTTGGCCTAGCAATCAACTAACAAATATCAATCACGTTTTAGTTTATCCCATAACCAGCACGTACTACATTATGCATTCTCGAGAGCAACCTAAGGATTACAGAGCCTCGAATGAAGGCGATGAGCATAGAAAAATCACGTCTTATCGCATGACTCAGTGACGATGTGTTAACCATATGTATACGTATATAGCAGTGTGAGAGCATCTCTTCGCGAATCGCGCGACTAATCTTCTTGGGTATCAACGGACTTATCTGCTTATTAAAAGCTGATTTATCAGATGCCATATGGAATTTTTTTATTCAATTTTGTAATTTGTCAGTCTAAGTTAGTCATGTTACATTGCCAAGTATAGGTAACAGTTGCATGTCTGCGAGTATCACTGAGAAAAATCTATTCTTCGTGAGATTTATAAGTTAAGCTGACGCTAGCTGTTGTCGACGTGTTAGGTGTTTCGTAGTTGTGTATGGACTCCTTGTATAGTTCAGCAGTTGCATCGTCCGATGTCTACGTGGATTGAATCTGCCATAATCTGTACAGACAATATGATAGTAT